ACATTCTTCGGGAAGGAAATAATAATTTCAAAATTTACTATTTATTGAGTTATATGGCTTTGATCAAGAACATTCCCCTGCATTCCATCATATCTTACTGGCAATAAAATACAATAAACGGCTTATCCCCTTAGGCCTCGCAGTAATACCCGCATAAATACACTTGAGAAATGAGAGTAAAACATCCTCTTCCTCATCGCTTCAAGGATCTAAGTCAATATATTGCAATTGGAAAAGGCCGAATATTTTCACCTCTCTCTGAACAACCAGTGAAAAGCCATCCTTTAAGGCAAGTTGGCATCATTTATGGGTAACGAATCACCCTGATAGGGGGTTCATCAATCGAAAACTGCTCAAAAAGTAGCCCAGTTCCTATCAATTGGGAGTTCATTTTTAATCCGTATTTCACATTACCCATAATGAGTAAGTGTGCCTTGTTGATTTCCCCGAGAGCAACAAAGGACTGCAATAGGTTTGGGCCAGACTGTAAATATGAAAGGGAGATTGTGCCCCCCTTAGGTTTTCTGATAGTTATTATTATCCTCTTCTCTTCCAGTCTAAGATTTTCACTCTTGAAACAGAGATACTCAACTTTTTCGAGTAAAAAATGTTTGTAGGAGAGTTAGGAAAAGGACAAAGTAGAAGAAAAAAACAATTTTGGTCTCAAGAATTCAATGTGAAACACATGATTAGTTGGAGCACTTATGTCTAGAAAGGACTCAAGCCATTCCATCCAATATTGTTATATTATTAGCTCACTTGTATTTTTTTTAAAACAATTAAATACAAACTTGTCAACCTACAGGCTTTATAATTATCAACTTCAAAATTTTTCTCCTTACCTACTTTTACCTTGTTTGAAAGGGTAAGAAACTCACAAAGAATGTAACAGGGTAATTTAGTATTACCAGTTGAGTTGATGACGTATATTGGCCACCGTAAAGAGTTTCAAAGCTGACTTTTCGAGCGTCAAAAAAAAACGTCAGCTTTTAAACTCTTTACGGTGGCCAATTTACGTTATCAACGCAATGGATAATACTAAATTACCCTGTTAAACTCTCCCACTGACGCAGCGCCACAATTTCTTAAGAAACTTAACCCATTTTTTCACAAAGAATATGTCAAACAGAGCAAGGTGAATTTTCGTGGTATTTATAATTTAGATTCCAAGTACAAATTACTCCTTTACATGATAACACACGCGTGTCAATTTAATTAAAGCAGTTTGAAGTTTTTAACCATTCCCTAATTGTGTGTAATGATATAGTTAAAAAAAACCTGCTCGCTGAGTAATGGCTAGTCGTTGAATTTATGGTTAAATGACAAATTCTGGTTCTTTAGGGAAAAGAAATTATCCTTTAACTGCTCTCAGTAAGGCTTTTCTTGACAAAATTGAATAATAATAATCTCTCATTAGTTCTTAAAATGTATAAACATGTAGCGCATATTTCTGTCGTGATTTTGTGCAATGTCGTTACGAAACAAGAGAACGTATTATTAAGATTGACATTTTTAAAGACGTGTCACCTAGATGCGATTTTATTAAGCACCACGACAAAAATGGGTTTATATTACGCGAAAAGAAATCAATCGAGATAAAAGCGAACTAGTCTTCAGTCAGAATAATTGTGTGAGCGAGAGAGGTTTTTGTTGTTTTAATGAAATCAGTTTACGACACAAAGTGACACCTTCGTCGGGACAGGTTTTAACCAGCGAGAGCGCTCGAGCATGAGCAAAGAACCAAAGCAGTTGTATTATGAAAAAGAAGATGACAGAATTTGACGACAAAATAAACCTACTTCTAGTCTTACTACTAGCTTCTCGGGCAGCATAAAATGACAACAAAACTCTAACATCTTTTACAGTTTCAGCTGTTTGGGTCGACATTCTTTCAGATCTTTCATTCCATGTATTTTGATGCTTTCTGGTCTTTGTGGATACGATCTGACGCACTACCACTACCAGGCGGTCGACAAACACTGAAGGTCATAGTCCTTGAACAAATTTAAACTATATTAACTAATACTCATGGTGTTACGATGGTTTGGACCACGAAGATCTCGAAAGATCAATGACATCAAAGGTCAACTAAAGATCGTTGTGATGTTCGGTCCCGCATCACGCGGATAAGTTGGGTTTAATCACGCATCACCCTGCAAATTTTGGGGCCATCACGCGTCACGCAGAAAACTTAAGCCGCCCTCGAAAATCGGCAAAGGCGAGAGCGAAGAAGAAATCGCGCTATGAGGTAAAGAAATTAAAGAGAATCTTGAGAGAGCCGATAACACGACAAGAAGAATTCAAGACGCGATAAAAGCCATAGACCTCGGAGAGCAAGTGCGCAAGGCGATAGAGAAACACAAGAAGAACATGAAGTTTTAGCAGCAACTACTTCAGCAAAGAGAAGAATTCGAGAAAGCACGCGAACACGAGAAGGAGACAGAAGTTGATCTTTCAGAGTTATTGGACATAATTGTAACGAAACTCTTTGGTGCTCTTTGTGGCTACCTTGAGAGGAAATTCAATATTCTTGATTGAAAAAAAGGATCTGGACTCCAAGGAGACACATCATCTACATCAAGATGAACTATCTCCTACTCTTGTAAACAGTGTTCATTCTCAGTAAGTGCCTGTTCTTCCAGTGAAAAGAAAACTTTCAACTCTAACTGACAGTGACTGTGCAGCAAGTTTTTGAGCAAGTGGGGGGGGGGGGGGTATTTTTGGCTCCGTTATTTCTGTTAAATCATTTTTTGCTTAATTTGTTTTTATTTTTGCAAAAGAGTGGGGGGCTAAAGCCCCCCAGCCCCTCCCTCTGCGCGGGCCCCGATAGATAGTGCCTCCTTTCACGATAATGAGGCAGCAAAAAAGATCCAGGGAGTAGAAGAAAGTGAAGACTCTAGCACAAATGTTCTATCCAGTGTAGCTGATGTGAAAACCTGTTTTTGTACGGTACAAAGACAAAACCAGTTTATCATTTGTAACATCTGTAAACATTCAACACCAAGCACAGATAGGCTTGTGGCAGGCAAGGCACAAACATTTTCTGCCAGTCAAACCAGTGTTCAGGCTGGTACGATATCCTGTGAGGCTGCACCATCACCAATAATGACCAAGGTCTCTAAGGAGTTCTTCTCTTCTTTTCAAGATCATAAAGTTTCCAGCAGTGTCAACCAAGATACAGAAAATTTTAACAATGCCAAAGGAAAAGTTTCTGTTTCTTGTCAGTGGCAAACTTGTCTGTACAAATGTATTGATACATCACCTCTTGTGGTTCATGCACCAGGGAGGTCTGAAGGAGAAGTTTTCATAGGTTCCCATAGTTACACGTTCATGTGCAGCAGACTGAGTGATGGCAAAGTCCTGTGGGAGAGTAGGCTGGGGGACAGAATAGAATCTTCTGCAGCTCTCTCACTCTGTGGTAGATATGTAATAGTGGGTAAGGTATTGTATATTGTTTTTTAATTAAATGGCAGGAGTTACTCGTGAGTAAATAAGGCATATGAGAGAGATGCTGTGATTATGTTACAGGATCTGAATACATACTTTGAGTGTTTGTATATAGAATTTGTTTTTACTTTCTCTGGAGTGGTTTTCTCCATTACTGGTATCAAGATTCTCAATGCATGAGTATGCATTTTAAAAGAAAATGTCAATAAGAGGCTAAAATACTGCTGATTTGCTTATTCAAAATGTTTTCTTCACTCAAACTCTTCCCTACCCTTCCCTCCCCTCCTTTCTTTCAGCTTGAACTGAGACAAATTAAAGACCATGTCTTGCAAACAATATTAGGATGCAGGATCTTGTTTCAGTTCTCCATGTATAAGTAAGAAACCTCATTTTGTATTCATTGCTACACTAAGCGGCCGTCTTCTTGCAATTGGTGCTACTGAACATACAATACTTTGGAGTCAGCAGTGTCCTAAGCCAGTGTTTGCATCACCGTTATTGACACCCATTGGTATAGTTTGCGCATGCGTGAATGGGTTTGTTTATTGTTTTGACTTCCAGGGTAATAAGCTATGGGAGTTTGAGACACAAGCTTCAGTGTTCTGTTCACCGACTTTGTACCATGATATAAGATATGGTTCCAGGATCTCACACTGTATTTTTTTTGGCTCGCATGACAAATCTGTGTATTGCTTGTCACTAAATGGTGAGCTCTCGTGGAGATTTACAACTGATGGGCCTGTGTATTCAAGTCCTTTTGTAGCCATGATTGAGGGAAATATGTCTTGTCACACAATGTGTAACGCAAGGCCTTGCGATGAGCATGACACTCAATTAGCAGTGTTTGCTTTGTCAAGTGTTGGAAGCCTGTATATTCTGGATTTTTATTCAGGAGTTCTTTTAGCTTTTTATTCATTGCCTGGTGAAGTATTTTCTTCACCTGTTGTATTCAACAATCAAATTCTCATTGGCTGTAGGGACAACTATCTCTACTCACTTGGAATATTAACCCTTTAACTCCCCAAGATCTCATCAGTAATTCTCCTTACTGTCTACCATATAGTTCTTGTGATGTTAGTTTGGAGAATTTGGTATTGGATCTACTAATAATCCCTAATTAATATTTATTCTCATCACTTGTCTGCCTGATATTGTATTGATATTGTATGGAGAAATTCTGTCTTGGTCACTTGTGGGCGTTAAAGGGTTAAATGAAACTGAAGAGTAAGTAGTAACAATGTTGACTATAAAAAATATTTTTATTTTCTTTTTACTCATCTAAAAATACAGCTAGATTTTCATTTTAATTAATTCCCAGACTGAATTATTTTTTTTGCAGACTTAAGACTGAATATATTTTATATTACAAAGTTGAATTACAATCAGAATTATCAATATTGCTATTTCACGTCTGTTATTTGACTTAATTGCTTTAGTTAACCAGTTCAAATATAAAAAAAGAAAATTTAACTAAGATAAACTATATGGAAAAAAATTATCATAGTGGTTGCATTTCCAGTGGCACACAAGAATATTCTATTATCAAATTCTCTACCTTAAGCGCCTATTTGTCTTAAACTTAAGTGCAAGTCATGTATGAATTCTTTGGGGGAGGACTGGGAGGATTTTGGGAGATCACATGGTTTTTTGGTCATCACTGACAGAGTATAAAAGGGGATTATAGAAAATTTACTGGCAATGAGGGGGATCATTAGAATACTACAGAGCTTAGGGGGGGAGGGGAGCAATGGCTTCCCCTTCTTCCCAGCCCTCTATCCCCCACCCCCCTAAGGTTATGGATAATAAGTAGTCCCTGATTTGCCAATTTCAGCCCTGGTATTCCTACAGTAAATGATTGTTGTGAAAAGAGAAGAGTTGGGTATTAAATTTTTACAACTTTCACTCCCTGGCAGGTCAATTACTTTTTCATTTCCTCGTTTGACTGAACTTGATCAATAGAAAAGTTACAATGAAAGGAAAAAAACCCGCCTCCTCTTAACGTTCCATGCCGTGTCGCAGATCATCCATGGCAAGCTGTATGTTACGTAACTTATTCTGAATACGCCTTACATAAACATGTTCGGGACCAAGTTTTTTCAGTTCAATGTTTAAAGCTCGTTTAAAGTACACCTTGGCCTGTTCCAGGTCGCCAGATTCACGGTGTACCTCACCCAAACCTTCGTAGGAAAATGCTACATAAACATGGTCAGGTTCGAGATTCTTCAACTGGATATTTAAAGCACGTTCGTATAGCTCTTTGGCCTGTTGCATGTTATCCAACAAAAATTGCACATTACCCAAATGGTGGTATGAATTCGCCAAATCAACATGTTCGGGTTCAAGATTTTTCAGGCGTATAGCCAGTGCTTGTTCGTGATATTCCTTGGCCTGTCCCAGATTATTCCATTTACAGTGCACCATGCCTAAGTTATTGTAAGTATCCACGACTTCAAGGTGCTCGGGACCAAGCTTTTTCAACTGAATGTCTAGAGCACACTCCAAATGCTCCTTAGCCTTCTGAAGGTTACACAATTCACGTTCTACATTTCCCAATTTAAAGTAATTACGGGCGACATCAACATGCTCGGGTCCAAGCTTTTTCAACCGAATGTCTAGAGCTCGTTGATAACACTCCTTAGACTTTTGCAGGTCACCCAATTCACTCTGTACAATACCCAAGTCATAGTAAGTATCAGCGACATGAACATGCTCGGGTCCAAGCCTTTTCAACCGAATGTCTAGAGCTTGTTGATAACACTCCTTAGACTTTTGCAAGTCACCCAATTCACGCTGTACAATACCCAAGCTATAGTAAATATCAGCAACATGAACATGCTCGGGTCCAAGCCTTTTCAACCGAATGTCTAGAGCTCGTTGATAACACTCCTTAGACTTTTGCAGGTCACCCAATTCACGCTGTACAATACCCAAGCCATAGTAAATATCAGCGACATGAACATGCTCGGGTCCAAGCCTTTTCAACCGAATGTCTAGAGCTCGTTGATAACACTCCTTAGACTTTTGCAGGTCACCCAATTTACGCTGTACAATACCCAAGCCACGGTAAATATCAGCGACATGAACATGCTCGGGTCCAAGCCTTTTCAACCGAATGTCTAGAGCTTGTTGATAACACTCCTTAGACTTTTGCAGGTCACCCAATTCACTTTGTACATTACCCAAGTTATAGTAAGTATCAGCGACATGAACATGCTCGGGTCCAAGCCTTTTCAACCTAATGTCCAGAGCTCGTTCAATATGGTCCTTAGCTTGTTGCAAGTTTTCCAGTTTACTTTCCACCACACTCATGGTAACCAATGAAAACGCCACATAAATATGATCATGACCAAGATTCTTCACTTGGATTTCCAAAGCACGTTCATAATACTGCATGGCCTCTTTCAGGTTACCCGATTCGTACTGTACATTACCTAGATGATGGTATGAATTTGCCACATCAACGTGCTGGGGTCCAAGATTTTTTAGCCGAATGTCTAGAGCACGTTCATGATTCTCCTTGGAATTTTGAAAGTCACCCAACTCACGCTGAACCCAACCTAGTAAATTGCAAATTGTCACAAGGGCATCATCCGTGAGTCCAAGTTCTTTTAACTCAACGTCTCCAAGATACTCACAACTCCGTATCTTCTTATCCATTTCAACCAGTTTCAAAGCTGTTTCACAGTAAACTTTTGCTCCTGAAAATTCGCGGTGATTTCTGCAAATTATTGCAAGCCTTCTGAAATATTCTGAAAATTTGAAGTAGTTGAAAACGTGTTTCTCGGTAACTTGATATCTATCCTCGTGAAGGAAGACCTTTTCAACTTCTGCAGCAAATGTATTCAAGTGTGGAATGAGATGCTCACTATCACGAATAGAGTTTTCGTTGTTCCAAGTGTGTGGTAGATGAATGTCTATGAATTGGTTGAAGGACATTACAGCGTATGCAACACTTCGAACGTGTTCATCAGGCTCCTGACACTCGTTGATTACAGATTTACTGGCTTCATGCACAACTTGATGCACACTAACAAAAATTCCACTTTCTCTCTCATCGAAGAGAAGAAGAGAGTAGCCTTGGATCTGAAGGGCAATTTCTTCTTTATCCAAATGCGGATTTTGATCATTCAAAATGTAGTTCATAAGGATGTCTAAATGCAAAGGTTGTAAAGAACACAGGGAAAGGAGTGTAAACGCGCTTTTAACAACACTGTCATTGTTTATCGCTCGTTCAATAGCCAGCTTGGTTGCGACAGTCATGGACTTCCTGTAGCTTGGGTTGGTTTTTGTTAGTTCCTTTTCCGTAAGGGCTCGCATACCTCTCTCTAGCTTTTCTAAGTACTCTTCCCATCCAAAGCTCCTGGCGACTTTACTTTCACGAACCTTTTTCATGTAAACGCCTGCACTAGCCAGCGCGAGGGGTTGGTAATCTAATGCCTTAGCGATTTTATCCACCATTCCTTGTTGTCTAATACCAGAGACCTTTGCTAAAAAGCAACGGGCATCTGTGGGCACCATGCCTTCGCTCACTGAAATGTGAGAGACAAACGAGCTTTCAGAGGGGATGGATAAAGAGTCCTGTGTTGTGATAAGCAACTGGCCTTTCGTCCACAGGTGGTTTCCAGGCCGAGGGAGAAAATCATGTACATCACATAAACTGCTAACATTGTCGACCACCAAGAGCCATGATCCGTAAAGAGGAATTTTGGTTGCTATCAAATCCTTTAGATTGTTGATTTGTTCTTCAAACTGCATATCTGTTGAGTTAAGGGTTTGCATGATAGTGTATTCAGGGCACTTGATTTGTCTTCCCAAAGAAGCGTACGATTCCAGGAGCGTTTTTGAACTTTCAGCGTTAAGAGTCATGACGAACGTGGGGCTTTTGAGGTCTTCGTTAGCTGTTTCGTAAAAGTGTTGAGCTACTAGACCGGCTAGTTGAGATTTGCCACTTCCAGGGTTACCCGAAATATATAAGTAACTCAAACCATTTTCATTTGCTTCTCTCAGCCGTTCAAGTCGTTTTGTTATTTTGCCAACCTCGCTCTCGCGAGGTGCGATTTCGTGTGATGGTTTAGGCGGAAGAATGCAGAATGAAGAAACATCACTATGCAACTGTTCCTCAAGGATATGGTGCTGTTCTTCAAAGACTTGATTCTTTTCTAAAACACTTTGAAGTTCCTCTGTCGGAAAACTTTTCTGCTTGCAGACATTTTGAATATCATTGGTTGAGAGACCAAGACACTGAAATGCGATCTTCACTTTTTGAACAGCAAGTCTGAACTGTAGATCTGACAGCTGACCCTGTGGCATGTGAGCAAACTCTTCATTGCGAAATTCTCTGAGATCATTGACATACGAGCGAACTGCTGCACCGAGTCCGTGGCCGATGGAATCGGAGTAAAGTACTGCAAAAAAGAGTGTAGTACAATCCCACTGTGCCCTATTTCCGTTTCTTATCGTTTCCAGCAGACGAGCATTACGCGTTCGGCACCGGGGAGACTCCCTGTTGTAGAAGTCCATTCCATTTTGAGGTGTATCTTTCCATTCTCCCAACGTTGCCTGGTAACGACTGTCCCACTCTTGTTTAAAAATGGATCGCAGCCCTTGTGGCAAGATATTAGTGACAAGATGACAAATTCTGAAGTAATTTAATTGCTCTTTGGTGTAAACTGAGGAAGCCATGTCTTCCTTGTCGTGTCATTCTTTTAAGTTTCAATCCTGTTTGGAAACCATATTACATATTCAATATTGACTGAAAAGAATCCCAATTTCAACTGCCAATTACTTGCATTAAGCGTGCAAGAGTAAGAAATTTCATGATAAGTTCACTTTGGTATTTTTTGCAAGGCCTTCATGGTTGTACTTACTCATTGAATGCAAACATACGAGAAATTAAAGAAATTGGATGACTGCGAAGTGGAAGTTCGATTTGTCAATCGCGAGTATGATTACAGATCAAAATTGTCGACGCGAAAACCTCTTGCCAAGTAATTATAACCATTTCAATTTCCGAGAAAAACAAAATGTATTCAACAGAAAAAGGGCTTATAATTACAATCTTTAAACGCTGAAGCATTACAATCTTTGAGAAATACAAACTGACAAGCTCCAGAAACAGTTTCCTACAATTATTGTTGGAAATCACTCGCTTTGGATAGTAGGATGGTAAGATTACTGTTTTCAATTCTGCAAACCAAATGTCCGATGACACCTTTTCAGACATATTAGTAAAAACCAGTGTAGTTCATCCACCAACTACATTCGTTGAAATTGTGATCGTTATAATAAAACGAGAAAAAAATACTCTAAAACTATCAGAACTGCGGAGTTAATTATTTTTCACTGTTAACGTTGATCTTGTAAAAGGAAACAGAGAATACCTTCGCGCTAAAAATTGAATACCATGTAATTCGTCTTGGCCGGCGTCCTTCTCTGATCGCAGCATTTGTCATCGAAGGAAAGCTTGGAAGCTTTTTTTTTTCAATTTATATAACGCACGGATCTGTATACTAGAGGTAATAGCTACGCCAGCAAGTATACTGCAAAGAAGGGAGCCTCTCTGAGCTTTCCGCGGAATTGACATTGTGTGGTTACCAATGGACAAAGTGTAGAGCCTCTTTTTTTTCGCTGTTCTTCACTGATTCATGATATTTTATCCTTCTTTACAGATAATTGCTATATCGTTGTTATTTCGGCCTTTTCAGAAATACATCAATTAAGACACCTGTTTTGGTCAAGTGTCTTCTTCATCGTTTATCACCATAAAGCGCGTTTGATTGTCGCGTGACTCGCTCAGTGAAAGAAATACAACGGCTTGATTTTATTTTTGATGAGCGATATATAAATAGTCATACGCACTCAGTGAATTCCAAGGCCAACCTCTTTCCCAGGGTCCTCTCTCTTCCTTCTTCGCGAAAGTTTTGCACTCATTAATTAGTAGCCGTTCAAGATCCCCCCAATCCCCCTCCCCGGGCAGCCCTAGCCTGGCTAAGGTGGAGAATACAAGAGTTCTATCTATAAATATGGAGGTGTAAAAATTAACTTTCGCGAAGGATCGGCTCAAAAAAAGGGTCTACAAGATCCAGGTTTTAAAGATTGGTCAGTGTGTATATGTTCCGGTCGCTGATTTTGCCTTTTGAAAAAAATTGGGTGGGCATTTAAACACAATGTTTTCTCGGAGGTCAAATCAATCTTCAAAAGTTCAGATGCCCGGGGGTTTCAAGGGGGATATTGAAGCTTCGAAATGATCGACACATCACTTCTCGAGGGAGAAAGAGAGAGGCCCTGGGAACGAGGATGTCTTCACGCGACCGGCTCTCGCACGCGCGTGTCTAACACTTTTACGTCATAACCTCGAAGTTAGCTACAGTTCTAAGCTTCTCTGGAGCGTTTTGTAATTGTAAGGAGAATTTTGTTACCGATCCTTACCTAGAGTCAAATTCAAAGCATTGTCCTGCCATCTGCTCGATGTTAGCCAGTTTGTGAAACGTGAATCGTCGTCACGCATAGCATTCATTGCAGCCCAGCCGTTAGCTGCTGGTTGTCTTGTCATGCAACGCATCTCTGTCCACCACCAAGAGAAAGCGTGGCGTGACAAGACCAAACAACAGCTAATGAGCTTCTTTCTACAGGAACAAAAAGTTTTGTTTAAGCTTTAGAAATACTTTTGTTTTCAGGCGTCTTATTTTTCGCATTTTATGTTCTCATCATTGGGTCACGACCTGTCGGTGACGTCTGCCGGCGGTACTTAAAAATGATCTTCCTATTTAGTGGTATCTGATTACCATGAGGGGGATTTATTTTTTTCATATATGTTATAAGATATGATTATTTCTTGTCGTCACCCAAGAAGTTCCACCAAAAAATCGTGACCGTCCATACATCCCCAAAGTGAAATTTCGAAATCTTAGACATCAGGTCACAAAGTATCAAAAACAACTAAACTATTCGTTACATTAGTGTTATTGCGCAATGTAGGTGTCACGTCAGGGGTTTCCTGCATACCACGGAATTTTACTTGTCAGATATAGTGAAGGAGGCCTAATGTCAGCTCGGATCAGAAAGCTTTTCGAAAATTTATAGGGAACTTTGATCAATGATCCCGATGAAAAAGAGAAAAATTATTCAGTATTCAAACCAAAACTTTTATAAGAACGTTGACTGAAGTTGATGACGGATCAAACGAGATTCTTGATAAGCACATTGTTGTCAGATTGCGTCATATTCCCTCTTAACGTTAATTTTATTCTTTAGAAGATTGAGAACAAAGAAATACATCTCCTTTGATTCTCAGTAGCCTTCTCGAACGTTAAATATATCATAAATAACACAAATTTTCTCAGAAAACGATGCGACGTGCAGTTTTTCAGTTGCACATAAAGACCAGACGAACTAGTCGGGATAATCGAGAATGTGAATATTAATGAGTAACAAAAACTGATTAAATTAAGAAAGCGACATTTTATCGTCAATCAAAACCTTTACAAATCGTTTTGAAAAAATATGGTCTACATCTTTACTATCCGCTGTTCATCATGTGCAGCGTGCAGCGATTTACGCTTCAGTCCTTCGCTGGTCTCTAAGTTGTCAACAAACTTCATATGTTTTCCTTGTTCTTGCGGATGTCAGATATCTGCTGCGTACTAACGCCGCCAGCCGACAAATCTGTCCCTTTTTCTCCCTTCTCTAATCGCAAAACTATGGCTGTTTATCTTCTATCGAAAGAATGGATCGCTTACGCTCAAGGACATGATGATCTCAAATAAAAATTCGCGATGCTGTGCAGCTTGTTTATCTTGCATACCACGCCGAACGAGCCAATAGAGCGTGAAATCTCACGTAGCAACAAAGCAATGAGACCTCATTCCAATGTTCGTCATTAGGTTACGACGCGTGTGAGCGCTCCTTTGCTTTTTAAAATCGAGACAAACCTGCCTTTACTTCATTGTTAAACGCTGTAGGTTTAAAAAGAATACGGCTACGGATCTCGATCATGACTAATTAATATTCATGACAAAATTGCGACCAGAGAGAAAGTCCGAATAATCGAGGTCCGGATAATCGAGGTTCGACTGTGCGGACATTTCCGGGTTACGGTAAATTCAGAGCTTGTTCTTTAATCAGAATTGAATTAGATTAAGTGTTCTGCGCACTTTTTCTGAAGGATATGTACTCACCATTCTATACACAACAGTTAAGCCGTGATAGCACCATAGGTTGTAAGTTAAAGACTCACTTAGCAAGGTCCATAGAGAGTCGCCTTCCTTACTAAAGTCTGCAAAGTCATGTGGCTAGTCTTACAAACCCGCATTTGACTAGAAATTGTCGACTGTCACGGATATCGTGACATCGTGTCACACTTTTAGAGCACAAGATGGCGGCAATGTTGATGTTTCCTCGTGATTAAAGTTGTTTGTAATCCATCGAGTTTGAGCCAATTCTTGAGTCGAACCGCGGAAACAGGAGCCTAGCTTCTGAGCCTATTCCAACTTGCAATAATATTGGATATTCAACTTACTATTAATTTGGTCATTAAAAAATGTTTTCTTCACTCAAACTCTCCCCTACCCTTCCCTCCCTTCCTTTCTTTCAGCTTGAACTGAGACAAATTAAAGACCATGTCTTCCAAACAATATTATTAACGATTCATAGTTTCTAGCGAACGTAGAAAGCTGATATGGCCTCTGTAATGATTGTGATGGTATTTCCAGTGGCCTGATATACCATTTATCTTATCAAATGGAACCTAATATTTGATTTTTTTAGGCCGTTATGATGGCCAAGTGTATGTACACAACCGCCTCACTGGTGAAACAAGTTGGACATTCCAAACAGGAGCAGCAGTGAAAAGTTCTCTCTGCATTGACCCGCTGATGGGAGTGGCCTGGTTTAGGTCACATGATCACTATTTGTATGCCCTTGATGTCACATATAAGCGGTGCATTTCTACAACACACTGCAGTGCATCCCTAGATGTTTGACTTTCTTCTTCGGCTCGGTGTTTTACTTCAGTATTAACCAGAGGTAAATTTTAACTTAACCTATGTTGGGCTGCTTCTTGGCTGACAAGAGATGCTTAGGAAATTCAGTTTTCCCGTGACCTGTTTTTATTCACTGGAAAAATAGTGGAGTCTTCTTGAAATTGAAACATATTCAGCGTTGCTCCACAGCAGGGATCCCATGTATACTTTACGGAGATGATCAAGTGTATTTGATATAAACGACCATAAGTTTCGACTTTCAACTTTTGTCAACAGAAACGCAATCCATCGCTACAATAGAAAATTGAGTCATCTGAAGGATAGCAAAACTAGCGTGGGGAACAAATCACGCGTAACGAGAGTGAGGTGCTTAGGTTGCAAATTTGAGAAGGTGAATATAAAATAGGGAACTGGAAACACACAAAGTCAAGTACAGCAGAATATAACTTTTTCAACACGACTCTCACTATGTGCTTTGGAGAACGCTTATAGAAAATGTCGAATTACGATGGTCGTTGAGTTATTTAGAGAAGTCGTGATTACGAACGCTTGCATTGCGTGATCACAAATAGATGATGAATTAATCAACCTATTTATATTCTCAAAGAGTAGACCAAACATAAAATTAACAGGATCTGTTCTTTTATCTTTGTCCTTCTTTTTCTTTTTAATTCTTTATTTCCTTCTATCTGTAAGTGTTTATCGTAAATCTAACGAGTGA